TCATGAAGTGATACTACATCACATCTCACCCAAATTATTACTTTTCAATTTCAGAAAATTCAACTATGTAATCCTAGTCTCTTTTGACAACTATAGGTTGATTAAAGCATCTTATTTGTGGGACTCAAAAAAATAAAAGATTAGCTTCATATTTTACTATCATTGTTTCAGATAGATATGGCAATTCCTAGTTAAATAAGTAGTGCTGCTTGTTATGTCTGTATGAAATTATTATCCTTTAGCAGTTGTTTGCCACAAAGATTTTTAGAGTACTAGAGACTTTTATTTTCCTAATGTATGCTGCATTTGTAGTTAAATGCTCTATAAACACCAAAAAAAAGTTTACAGCAATGAAGTACCTTGTACTTCCATTTTGTTGCTGCTGCTTTATAAAAATCATTACTCACATTTCAAGATATTGAAGTATTTGAGTGAACAGAGGGAATATTTTGGCAATAAATGGTTAAGTAGGAGGTTTCTTGAAACCCACATATTTGGCATTTATACAGCTGTTTTTATCTATGTGAAGACTGGTTACTGATTAGAACATAAAAAAAAAAAAAAAAAAAGAACAAAAACCTTACTTTTGTCCTAGATGACAAAATTGTTCAAGTTTATACTTGATCTAGGCTTGACCACATTTTATCTTATACTTTACTAGTAAGTTCAATTGTTACAGGCTTAATTCACACTTTTTGTTATGCAGTATGCAGTATTATCTTCACAAAGCTACTGTAGGATTTTTCACTGAGTTACTTAATAGAATTGTGATAACGTAAAATAGATATCATTCCTACTTCCAAAGACATCAGTTAAGACAGCAGATAAAGCCCATTATCAGTAGGTTCCTTAATCCTTTAGACCAGAACTCACAGAAAGGGCATCACAAGTATCAATTTAAAAAATTACAAATTGTTCAGAGGATCCAAAGTAGTGGACTAGACAGATATACTACCCACACCTTCTACAAAAAAGACCTGAGAAACCAAGTGAAACAGATACAGATGACAATCGTGGAGTCCTGAGCTTCAAAGTAAAAGATAAAGAAATAGATCAAATACTGATTAAAAGAAGAAACTGAACAAAAATAGTAATAAAGAGACTTACGGAGCAATGAATTGCCAGTCTGCCCAGCACAGTGCAACCATTTTGAATTACTGCAAACAGCACTGAGCTCAGGGCAGAAACCAGAGAACCAGCTCTGTTCATCTAGGACAACAGTATCCACACCAGTGACTGGCAACCAGAGAAGTGTGATTGTCCCCTTTAACCTGCACAACTCTGGTGACCAGAGGTGCCCCCCAACCTGGGAGCTATTCAAGCCCCCCTCACTGCCACTCCCTCACCTGGTATTCTGCTGGCCCACTTTCTCCTCTTGCCCTCAACCCCCAAACCTTGCTCTATTCCCTCAAAAGCCTGGGGCACAATATGGTGGTTACATACTGTGAGCCTCTCACCTCAGACATCTGCAGCTAGAAATTGCACTGGTGCTGTCCCACTTTTTTTCTTTCTTCTTATTTACTCCTTCTTCCCCTTCCCCTTTTACCTTTTATTCTCTTAAAACAGGGGCCAACAGCTTTATTCAACCATACCTGTCACACTTGTTTGGCAGCTGGAGCTTGAGTTGGTGCTTTGACACTCCCCCCCTTTTTTCTTCTTTCTTTCTTCTCCCCCCTTTTTTTCTTTTTCTTCCTCTTCTCTATTTCTGTTTTTTTTTTCTTCTTCTTCATTTTTTCCCCATCAGATGGAAGCTAGTGACTCTACCTAGCCCTATTCACCACATGTGCTTGTTTGGCAGCTAGAGCTTGTATCAATGCTGTTCCACTTTGTTTCTTTTTTTTCTCTCTTCATTATTTACTCTCTCCCCCCCCCCCTTTTTTTTTATTTTCTTTTTTTTTTTTTTTTGCTTTCTTGTTTTCTTTCTCTTCACCCCTTTCTTTTTCTTTTTTCCCTATTATTCAGCAGCCAGCAACTATCCAGCCATAGCCAACACACTGCCCCAAGCACTGATGAGGGCCACCACCTGCCCCAGCACCACTGATCGATGACAGAGCAGCTGGCACCTATCCATGTTCACCTCAGCTGCTCTACATGACCACTTATCAGCAACTTGCACCCACTTGCCCATGTGCTACTAAATCCACCCTGAGATAGGTGGTGAGCACCTCAGTATTGCCCAAGTAGCAATAGGGTACCATGCCTGACCCACTGCCCAGATATCTATCTATCTATCTATATATATAGAGAGATGTTGTTGTTGTTATGTGCCGTCAAGTTGGACCCGAAGCATAGCGACCTCTCCTTGGGTTTCTGAGGGGTATCACTATGGAAGTAGATTGCCCCATCTTCCTTCTGAGGAGTGGCTGGTGGGTTTGAACCACCAGTCTTCTGGTTAGCAGTCAAGTGCCTTAGGCAC